TATATATTGTAGGATGCCATTTATATAAAAGGCTAGAAAATGCAAATTAATCAAAAGGGATAGAAAACGGATCCATGGTTCTCAGGGGACAGAGCAGCAGGAAAAAAGATGATAAACAGGCATCAGAGAACTTCAGGAGTAATGGGTACGTTCATGATTTTAATTAGATGGTTTCATGGTTGTGTATGTGTCAAAACTCATCAAATTGTATACTTTAAGTATCTGTAGTTTATTATATATGAATTATATCTCAATAAAGATTTAACAAAAAGCGAAAAGACAACTGACTACATGAAGCAAAAATAATAATGTATTGTTAGGCTGTAACTTATCTAAATGTAAAATGCAAGACAAGGAGAGAAGGGAGAAAATGGAAGTAAACATAAGGTTGTAAGATTCTTACAAAATATGTGAAGTGGTATAAAATTATTTGGAGGTTCTCTCTGATAAGTTGAAGCTGTATATTGTAAACCAGGAGCAACCACAAAATCAGAGAAAAGAAAAGGGAAGAGAAGTATAACAAAGTATAATAATCCAAGGGTGGAGGTAATAGGAATCATAAGAAGTACTCAATTTTGGTTGCAAAAAGAAGGGAAAGAAAATGAAATAGAGATGAGACAAACAGAAAGAAATACCAAGATGACAGATTTAAACCTAATAATATTTATAATTATATTAAGTGGAAATGGTCAAATGCTCCAATTAAGCACCAGAAATTATCAAGTTGGATTTTTAAAAATGCTGTCGACAGGAAGCCCATTTGACATATAAATACACAAATAGGTTACCAATAAAAGGATGGGAAATGATATATCACACAAATATTAACTAAAGAAGGCTGCAGTGGCTATATTATTATTGAAGAAAGATTTCAGAAAAATAAATATCACCAGGGAGAAAGGGAGACATTGCACACTGACAAAGGGGCCAGTGAATCCAAAGGACAGAATTCTGAATGTGTAAGCCCCTAAAATAGTTTCCAAATGCTTGAAGCGAAAACTCAAGAAAAACAGATCCACAATTTTACAGTTGGAGAGTCCAATATTCCTCTATCAATAAGGATATAAAACATTTGAACAACACTATCAACCAACTTAACCTAATTGACATTTCGAGAACAATCTACTCAGAAACAGCAGAATATGTGTTTTCTTTATTTTTTAAACTATTTATTTTATTTTATTGATTTTAGAGGGGAAGGGAGACATCAAATTGTTGTTCCACTTATTTATACTTTCATTGGTTGATTCTTCTGTGTACCCTGACTGGGGATCGAACCTGCAACGTTGGTGTATCAGGGATGATGCTCTAACCAACTGAGCTACCCGGCCAGGGCTATATATTGTTTTTAAATGCACATGAATCATTCACTAATATAGTCCATGTGCTGGGCCATAAAATAAGTTTAAAATGTAAAAGAACTGGAATCATATAAAATATTTTCTGTTCATAACAGAACTAGAAATAAAGGGGTATTTCAACAATCTCCAAATATTTGGAAATTAAACAACACACTTCAGAATAGCCTATAGGTCAAAGAAGAAATCATAAAGAATTGGGAAATTATTTGAACTGAATAAAAACAAAAATAGAACAAAATCTGTGAGATGCAGCTTTAGAAATAGAGGAAAATTTATAGTGTTAAATGGTTATATTTTAGAAAAAAAGCTGCCCTGGCTGGTGTGGCTCAGTGGATTGAGTGCCGGCCTGCGAACCAAGGGGTTGCTGGTTTGATTCCCAGTCAGGGCACGTGCCTGGGCTGCAGGCCAGTTCCCTGCAGGGGACGCGTGAAAGGCAACCGTACATTGATGTTTCTCTCCCTCTCTCCTTCCCCTCTAAAGATAAATAAATAAAATCTTAAAAATAAATTAAAAAAAGAGAACATGATGGGGGACATCACTACAGATCATACTGACATTAAAAGGATAATGAGGGAATAGTGTGAGCAACTTTATGCCAAATTCAATAACTTAGATAAAACAAATTACTTAAAAGACAAACCACCTCACTCATTCAAGAAGAAACAGATAACCTACATTGCCTTATAGCTATTAAAGACATGGACTACATAGTTAAAACTCAACAAAGAAAACTGCAGCTTAGTTCCCACATGGCTTAGCTGGTGAATCCTACAAAAAATTTAAGGAATAGTACAGAACTTGGTACTATTCCTTACAGAAAATACAAGAGGAGGGAACAATTCCTAAGTCTTTTTTATGAGGTCTGCCTTACCCTGATACCAAAACAAAGGCATTTAATTAAAAAGGAAATTATAGGGTATTTTTAAATGGTCATCATCTTGTATAAGGTGATATAACAAGTAATATACAAATATTCTAGGATAGAATATTTATCCAATAATCTAAGTAGAAATATGAGTGTAATAGTGTATACACACACAGAAAGATGTACAAAGTGGAAATTTCATGTAATATTTACTTTATATTTTCCTCTGTATTGTCTGAATTTCTGATGAACATGAATCATTCTACAGTGAGAATAAAATTTATCTCCATTTTGAAAATGCAATACACATTCCCTTGCCAAGGGTCTGAAAGATATAAAGATCAAAGCCAAGGTCAAATGACTAAAGTGACGAAGTGAGACACCACCGCTCCCCTCGTCACTGGTCTCAAATCAACTCTCTGCTGTCAGTACCTGGGGGTACAAACAGACAGTTCTCCAGACCACCACGCACTTCTTCCACACCCACCTAGTTCCCTGCTAGTCCCAACTTTCCAATGCCCAGACCAATCCGCATTGGTGTGAGGAAACTTCATGTAAGTGACATGATCATAAAGGGTGATGTTAACCAAAAGCCTCGGCCTGGCACAAGTTCAAAGCAGTTTCCCTTTTGGTCGGTAGGCTCTTCCCCCGGGACACCTTTAGCTGTGTCTGAGTTTTCTCCATTCCCTGGACTCCTCCTGCCTGAGCTCTGGTTCTGACTTCAATTTAAAGCGTCCCTTCCTCATCCTATCTCACCAGCTGGGCAGGAAGACCGCCGAGCTCTGTGTACAGCGCTCTGCTGGCTGCCTTTCTTCTGGCTTCAGGCACTTGTTCTCTCCAACACCCATCTCGGGCCTCGAATTGTAATTTCCCAAGCCTGCCTAACCTGGCCGTTTCTGACGGGTGGCTCTCCTAACTCTCCTCCTGGGTTTGTCCTTGGCCTCTTGTATCTCTAAACCAAAGATGGAAAAGCAGTGAGCTGAAGCAGAATGCAGTTCACAGGTGTGTTTTATTTAGCTACACGGCTTGTTTAATTTTGTTACTGACATGAAAAACCAGGACATTTCAGATTGAATCCCTTGTATACCGTTGGTGGGAATATGAAGTGGCGCTGTCACAATGGTCCATTTGAACATTAAGGCAGTTCCTCAAATAATTAAAAACAGAATTACCGGATGATCCAGCAACTTCACTTCTGGGTACGCGCCCCAAAGAACTGAAAACAGAGACTCAGAGAGCTATTTGTACAACCGCACTCACGGCCGCATCATTCACAACCGCTAACAGGCAGGAGCAGTCCAAGTGTCCACTGACAGATGAATGCACATGCAAAATGAGGCAAATGCATACAGTATTGTTCAGTTTTAGAAAGGAAGGAAATTGTTGATGTGTACTACAACGTGGACGAAGCTGCAGAAAACTAAGTTCTAGGTTGCTCAGTTAAATAAGCCAGTCACAAAGGGATAAACACTGTGTGATTCCACTGATGTGAGACAGTTAGAGTAGTCAAAATCATACACAGAAAGTAGAACGGTGGCTGCCCAGGGCTGGGGGATGGAGGAATGGGGAGTTAGTGTTTAATGGGTACAGAGTTTCAGATTTGCAAGATGAACATTTCTGGAGACTGGTTACAAAAGTGAATGTACTTAGTGCCACTGACCCTACCACCTCACATCATTCTTGTATTGGTTTGGCTTCTTTAGTCATGTGAGTTTGCGGGTTTTGCCCTAAACCCAGAGCGTTAGCTTCTGTAGTACAGCCCTCCAATGTCAGCATCCAGCTAGGCAAGCTAAGGGTCTATTCTTTGGTGGAAGGGCCAACACCTTCACCCCTCAGCAACTGATGATAAACACCAGCGTGACTGGGAAGACCATCCCTAAAAAGCTCTACGCCACACCTTGTCCCAAACACACTCTGCCTTTCCTCCTTTCATCTCCATTTACGTAAATACTGTTCTTCCTCACTCCTCCACGAAGCCTTCTCTATAGATTCTAATTTGAGCGAGGGTCTTCCTTCTCTCATGTTCTATGGCATGCAGCATCTGAAGTGCTACCTATTGTGTATGTCTACATGCCGTCTACCCAGTCACACGCCATGACCCTCATTTACTCAACAAATATAAAGCAGCCACCCTGGGCAAACATCATTCTGGGCACTGAGGACAAAGTGATGTGCCAGAAAGACAAGGGCCCTGCCATTGTGAAGCTTACTTTCCAGGGGGCAAAGTAAGTAAATAAGTAAAACATTTCAGATATTAATAAACACTGTGGGGAAAAGGTGAAGCAGGGAGACGGGGAGTGGCTGTGTGGGGTGGAGGCTGCTTTGCAGACAGAGTGGTCACTGAGAGCTTTCGGAGGAAGTATATTGAGCTGAGATCTGAAAAATAAGAGGGAACCAACCACGAGGAGGCCGTTGGAAAGAGCACCGCAGCCAATGGGAACAGCAAGTTCAAAGACCTATTTTCAGGAATAGAAATAGCACATGTGGCTAAAGCATAGAAAGTGAGGAAATGCAGCAGCACGAGAGTACGAGATAAGACAAGACTTATGAAGAGGCTTAAATCCTACGTGATGACTTACTAGTGGGTGATCAACGGTTTATACCTTCTAATTTTTTCAGGGCAGGCACTCAATAAAGATTTGAGCATCACCACCATTTGCTTGTTTGAAAATACCCACAGCTACTTTCGATCCCAGTCATCTCCTTTTCACTGGTCGACTTTTCACTCCTTCAACGCTTCTTCCGCACGGTTATCTGGCACAGGGACTGCTCACCCCTTTAATGAAGGTAGGTTTGTCCTTTATGCCAAAGTTCCAGAGCATGATATCTCCCCCTTTGGAACCCACGGCCAGGGTGCTGGGGTGAGTTGGGTGCCATGCCATGGATGTGGCCCTCCTGTCAAAGGGGGCAGCCTTTTGGAATATCCGGTATGAAGCCAGAGAGTTCAAAAAGGACTGCTGGAGATCCTGACAAAGAGAGAAAATAACTGAGTTGAATTAAAACCCAAGTCCCAGGTAAACTGTCAATCTCTGCCTCCTCCGTAGATGAGCCCTAGGGCCCAGTCCTCCCACCAAAGGAAAACTAACTGCCTGTCTCTGCGCATGAATATATTTGCGATATAAATGAAATAATCTTGGAAAGCAAGAGGGCGGAGCACATTCCAGCCGGAATCTTTACAGCCTGACTTCTACCTGGCTGAGTGCCCAGTAGACCAGACCCCAAGGTGGGCAGTGATCTGACCACTCTGAAAACCCGGTGAACCAACTCAGCATCTACTTTGGGGGCATCCAGTTGTGTAAAAAGCACCACGGAAACCCTTAAGCACTTCGGCCAGGAAACGCCTCACCTGCTGTAGCGATGGCCAGGCAGTTCTGCCCAGCTTATGGTGATGGAGGGCCCTGACGATGCTCCTGCACCGTGGAGGGACCTGCAGGCTAGCCAACCCCTCCCGAAGGCAGCCGGAGTCAGATCTTCTGCTAGAACCTGCCAAGTAGAACAGACACATATTTTCTTCTCCAATTTCACCCAAGAAAGGTTCTTCTGCCAAAATTCCAGTAAGCCTTGTTGTTTCATTCGGCAGAGCCAATCTCTCCCATCACCTGTCCATGGTCTGCTCAGTCTCATCCAGCACAAGAAATAAACGATGAGCAGGGATTCAGTCCCTGCCCCCAGATAGGAATTCCAAAGTGAAACTAATACACTTCTGCAGGGTTCCTCAGCACTGAGCCAAAGAAACACACAAGAATAAAGCGTATGCAAAACTCTTGTCAATTTGAGTTGGAAAACTCATAAGGTTGGGTGACAATTTTAAAATCATACATAATGCAGAGTAAAAAAATAAAACACACAAACAAAAAGGTGTCTAGCACAGAAATGACCGTTTGGGGAAGAAGCACCTTTAAGTTCTACATTAACATAATGTGGAGGAGACAGTTGTTGGCCCCAAATCCAATCCGTTCTCCTGAAAACCAGTGAGACCAGAGCGTCTGACGTGACTCCAAACAGACTAGGCTACTGTGGGGGAGGTCGACCCGCTTAGACTCGGAATCCAGCCACTCTGGATTGCCAAGGTGTAATCTGAGGATCTGATCTCTAGGAATCCAGACTCTTGGAAGCCAATTCTTTCTTCTGGGGGTGGAGGGGGGACCCAAACACAAGCACTTCATAGACCACCCCTTTCCAGTCTTTTGAGTTCTTACAGCCCTAGGTTTGATCCCCCTTAAACCTCGGAGAAACGTGTTTTCTAAGGAAGGAAGGACGGGGAGGGCGCTCATGACTCAAACTGAGAACCTGCAGCTACACACGCCACCAGACAAGGTGGGTTTATTTTAAGCAGTCCTCCGCATCTGGCAATCTGGTACAAACAAGGAGTTTGAAGTCTGCCGTTTGGAAGTTTGGAATTCATCTGCCTCGTCCGGCCACGGGACGGAGGTTAAGCCCAAATTCTATGACGTCAAGGGACCTGCAGACAAAATGCACAGCCTGAGGCATCTGAAACTTTGGACGGCCTCACGAATTAGGAAACACCCATCCCCCACTCCAGCCTCCTGCACGAGAGCCCCTAACGACGGAATTATTAAAGCCGTAGGCGTAGGCAGTACCGGGGCCCTTCACACAGAGCTTCTTGGCCTCGTGCTCCAGCTCCCCCGGGTTTCTGCTCCTCTTGCTCCTGGGGTGCAAAGCCACCTCAAAGGTCTTCCGGGTTTCTGGGCGTTTCTTGGGAGCCATCGCGTCCTCCGTGCAAAGAGGTACTATACCGTAAACCGAGATTATGGAGGGAAGATAGGGAAGCCTCTGGGGAGAAAAAGGGCGGGGAGTCGGGCACTCGTCCAACTTCCCGCCAAACCGGCCAACTTCCCGCCAAACAGGCTCCTGGCTTCCAGACTAGTTTCTAGTTCCTGCTCCGCCCCTCTCTGAGGGGCCCCGCCTCTCCGGGGGACGGACGGGGCGCGCGCGGGGAGATGGGAAGTGTGAGCGCGGGGGAGATCTTGGGCTCCCTGGAGAAATGGGTTTGGCCTGCCCTACGTGCTAGCGCGTTCTAGTCCAGTCAGCCGAGTTGCCAAAAATAAAGATGGCCGCCAGTGCTAGGCCACCCTACTTGAAGCCTCTTCAGACGCTGCGCTGCCAGGCCTCTGCGGTCCCGAAGACCGTACACCAATCAAAGGGTCGGCTCCGCCTTCTCTGTCTTTTAATTGGTGGTCACGCCCGCTTGGGCTTTAGCGACGGCTGATCCTTACGCGAGGAAGGTGGCTTTGTAGACAGGTAGAGACTTCTGTGCGGTGGAGACTAGCTCTTCCTGCCCGCAAACTTGGCGATCTGTGTCCAGTATTCTTATCCCTCCAGCTCACTAGAATGTCAGCTTCTCTGAAAAGTGGTTGAGATTCGCCACTTTCCCCGAACCTACTGAGTATCCGCCTGGGGTAATGATGCGCTGGGGGGCCTGCGGGCCAACCCGGCTTAGAGTTTTTACGGCCTGACTTCAGCCAAACGCCAGGACAGTGAGCCTCCGAGGCGAGGCAGCGCTATTTTTCGGGCCCGAGAGGAGACAGTTCGGATGCACCCCACTTTCTGCGACGAGCCAGGCTGGAGCTGTGGTTAGTCGGGGACTGTTGGGCCTTTTCTCCTCCCGCCCCACCCCCACCCCCCGCTGAGTTTTGGTAGGGTGAGAGGAGACAAAAGTGCATGAACAGTCGAGCCTGCACTGAAAGACAGGGAGGGATGAAAGACATCTCAAAATATTATTCTTGGAAACAAATGAATGCTCCAGAGGAAAAATTCAAAGTGCTCTTTTGATGGAAAGATCGGCTCAGAGTGTTATAAATGGCAACCACCAAGGGGACAAGCTGGTTGGCATCTCCCCTGCTGGGGTGTAGCTGTGTTTTCAGAGCTGTGTTACAAAAGCGAGCTGTCCTTTAACCAAACCAGCCATTAATTTTACCTCAGCAGGAGGCTCATGTCTGGGGGATCCTGAAATAAAAGAAATGACCGGGCCCCTAGTTTACAACCTTTCAGAAGAAAAGAAAAAAAAAAAACTGGCAAAACAGGTCAAACAATTCAGGATAGAATACAAAAAAAGTTGGGTACTAAATTGTGGCACGCCAACTGAGACTTTAGAGATGCAATCAAAAAAGAAAGAAGTATTTGGGAAAGTCTCACAGGGAAATCGGAATTTCATGGAGTTGGCTGGGGGAGGGAGAAGAGCATCCTAGGTGGAGAAACTGCTTAATGAAAGTTAGCAATGGGTGTGGGTTACAAGAAAGAGAAAAGCAGTCCCTGGCATCTGGGAGCTGGCCTGGTACTATGGGGCAGGCCTTGGTGTTCTGTCCAAATGAACAATTTCACAAAACCAGACAAGGCTACTTTGTGACTGTGGTAGATCAACACAAAAATATGTTCCCTCATGTCTGAACACAGGCAATACTATGAACATTGGTCAAGCCACAAAAAATGGCCAAACATCTCCATCTTATTTTGGGCAGTATAAATGACTGCAGCTTCTTTGACAAGCACAGCTTGAACTTTGCTTTATTCCTCCTGCCCTACTGATAGGATTAATTGATACACAATCAGAATTAGCCCCATTTCCTGACAGCTTCCAATCCAGAACAAAGCCTTAACCCTGGCTAGTGTGGCTCAGTGGATTGAGTGTCAGCCTCCGAACCAAAGGGTTGCTTGTTTGATTCCTAGTCAGGGCACATGCCTGCATTGCAGGCCAGGTCCCCAGCAAGGGCATATGCAAGAGGTAACCACACACTGATGTTTCTCTCCCTCTCTTTCTCCCTCCCGTCTCCTCTCTCTAAAAGTTGATAAATAAAATTGTTTTTTTTTATAAGCCCCACTTCTTTGAATGCTTGCTTATCCAAATCACCAACACAAGCCAATCCTATAAATTCTTTCTGACACCTTAAACAGCTGTCCCATCATTCCCCATGGTATGTTTCCTCTGTTGCAATGAGCAGTAAACCCTAAATTCAACTGTGCAGGAGTGTCCCTGATGGTGTCTGGCATGGGAGCATTGACATTTATGAGTAGATTAGGAGACAGCCTGAAGAGGAAGAGGAGAAAACTGATCACACTGAGACTCCGTGCAGAGTAAGAAAGTCCAAATGAAGGGGGTAGTTGAATGGCAGGCAAAAGAACTCAAAGTTCATTCATTCTACTGACATTTATCATAAACCTATTCTGTTATGGCACTGTTTCAAAAAGAACACTGAAATGGAAAATGCCCTTTGCCCTCATGGAGTGTGCCTTTTAAAAATGAGTAAATCTACAACTGCTTTTTAAAATTTTTTTTATTTAATTATTTTTAGAGAAAGGGGAAGGGAAAGAGAGGGTGAGAAACACTGGAGAGAGAAACATCAATCGGCTTCCTCTCAAGCCCCAACCAGGACCAAACCTGCAACCTAAGCAGGTACCCTGATCAAGAATCAAAATTGCAACCTTTCGCTTTGCAAGACAGCTGCCAACTAACTGAGCCACAGTGGTCAGAGCTAAATCAACTTTTAATGGTGAATGGCACCAGATATTGGACCTCAGCCCTTGAGTTTTGACTAAGAAAGAATTCAGAGCCAAGCAAAAGTTTATTTAGAAAGTCACAGAGGTAGGAGAAATGAGCCATTTAAGAAGTGAGCCAGCTAGGCAGTGTGGGCTCAGGAAACAGGTTACAGAGGCGAAAGAAGAGCCCTTGGAGCTTAGTAGAAATAAAGGCAAAGAACACTCATCTAGGGGAAGCAGAGAAGGAAAGGTTTGGGTAATGCTCCAGAGAGAGCGCTCTGGGGAAAGAAGTGGGTGGGGAAATGTATGGGCTGCTCAGAGTGCTAGAGCCCTTGGTCTTTAGAGTTTTGTCTGCTTTCCAAAGGTGGGGATTTCAGGGGTGGTCTCAGGAGGATCTCAATAGGAAATTCATCAGCTTTCCATGTGTGTCCCTGCCAGGGTCATGGTCTCCGAGACTGACTGGTTGGCACCAGGGCAGTGGGTCATCGATGTCAGCCCTGGCATTACCTGGTCCTGCTGCTTTTCTGGGCCTGGAGTTGAAAGACGACTGAGGCCCAGATGTTATCTTTAGCTTGACCAGAACTCTGTCTCCTGGTGATCAGACCTGAGGCTTTGTTCTTAAGGTTATTTGATGTGAGTCAGAACCTCATTGTCCTGAGGGCTTCATCCGTAGGAGAGTGGTTGTGTAAGGGCTTGGATGGGAGTCCTATGAGGCTATTTTTCAGCCCCCTAGTTCCTTCTCTAAGGGGGGGTCTACTGCATAACTAGCAACATGCCAGGAGAGGAAAGGTCCCGCCTGAGCACCTGGGGCCTTCTGCCCTGGTGACCTTCCATACCTGGCCTGTCGGTCCTACTCTGCTCATGCCTGTCCCACTGCTTACTGTATATCACAACTGCCTTTGAGTGTGATGAGCTTAGTGGAAGAGCGAGCTCTGTGTTCTGGTGGGATGGAGGGTGGGGGCCAGAGGGAAAAGACGCTCTAACTCAGCCTGGAGCGGGATAAAGAAGGGACAGTGTGGAGCAAGTCTTCCCAGGGAAGGTGACACTTAAACTGAATCTTGAGAGACTAGGGGCGAGCAGCGGGGAGTAAGGAACGGAAAGGCAGGGAGGCAATAGCCACGATGGATTTGTGAGCAAAGGAAATGACTGCTTAATGCCAACTCTCCCGGAGTCCGCTTTTAGGATTGGGGAGTTTTCCCTGATGGGTCACACAAACTCTCGAGGCCAGCGGCAACCTGCCTCTCCTTCCAGGAAAGCACTTTGTTTCAGGTTGTGCTTTGGGGCGTTCTTACCCTGGGTTTTGCTTTGTTTTGCTGCAAAATAACTGCCCAGGGAGATGATGTCATCCAGATCCATCTGATGAACCCTCAGGTGCAGGGTGGATTAAAGCATTTAATACATTTTTTTTGATGCTGCTAATCTGATAATGAGGCTACGGGTGCAGCATTGCTCTGGTTTTGTGCCATTGAGAGGCCGCACTATGCGGCCCCGTTTATAGAGGTTTTGGTCCTACCTGTGACACTGCCTTTGACATACAGCTTCACCAGGCAGCTCATTCGAAAGTTGCTGGTGATAGCAAATCAAGGTCTCATGGTTGCACTGGAAGCTGGGCAGACCATGAGCATGACCCTAAATAATGCCAGTTTCTTTGATGTGCAAAACAATACGTGGCTTAGGTGTTTTCTGGAACCAATAACAACACAGTGGTGAGAGCATTGTCCTTAGACTAGGTGATCCTGGATTGATCATTTCACGTTTCTGTGCCTGAGTTTCCTCATCATAAAATCAAGCGGAAGGATGAGGAGGTCTCAGATCTCTTCCAGCTGCAACGAACTGCAGTCCTGTGACTTGCTGTTAAAGCAGCAGAGGCCAGGGACTGCTCTGAACTCTGGCCTCCCTGTGGGAAATTTCCATCTAGCAGGAACAGTTTTTCCTGGTGCGGGCTGATAGGTGACTCTGTTCTAATCCAGCTGTCTGTGGATCCAGATGCTCTGCTGGGTCTGCAGAACCGTCGGTAATCCACACTGACGGTGCGGGCCGGCTTCCTACCCACGGTAACTGCATCCAGCGGTGGCAGTCCTCGAGGACTCTGCGGAGCTTGCAGGGAACTGCAGTTGAAATTCCTCCTCAAGGACTGGAAACAGACCCAACACAGCATTCAGAGTCCTTGCTGCTTGGCATCTCCGGTACATATTTCGACGCCCAGAGGTAAATAAATTTGTAATAATGCGAAGTGGGAGCATGGCTCCCACCCTGTGGGAGTAGCATTTATTTTCAAAAATACAATTTGGGGTAGCTTTGGAAGTGTCAGACAGCTGTGTAAATACCAGAAAACCCCCCTCCAGTCTTTACTTTGGGGGACGAGGCACCATCCTCACACTAAATCAACATCCCGCCCTGAAACACCGCAGGTACCGGGTGCCAGGAAACTTCTCTGGGC